TTTAAAAATCTGATGTGTGGATCACATGATATTTCAATTTTTCTAAGTTCCCATTATAGGCCTTCTGCACTGTAGTTAAAAAAAACTAACTTATTGATGACCAATAAAATGAGTGCATTTATTATGTAATACAAGCCCGTACTCAATTTCCTTGCGTTTACAATTTTTTTTTATTATTATTATAAAATCGACATTTCTTGCTAGTAAATATGAATAGTAAAATGCTACAGAATTTTAAGGAAAGGAGGTTAAATGAAAGAGTTAGAGTGAGGGATAAATATGAATTTTTAGGATTTCTTAGTTCAGGTACTTATGGTAGAGTTTACAAAGTAAAACTTAAACAAAAAGACAAAAGGTTTGTTATTGTTTAAATTCATATATATATAAATATGAGGATTTCTTTTAAAAAGTTTTTAAAATTAGATTTAAGAAAAAAATAAATTCAGAAATGATCAATTCAACTGATTGTTTTGTTTAGTCAAGAATCATCATCACCTGAAGAAAAAGAAGTTTTTCTCGCAATCAAAAAATTTAAACCTGATAAGGAAGGTGAACCTAACACTTATACCGGAATTTCTCAATCAGCATGCAGAGAAATATCAGTACGGTATATTTATAGTATATTTGATGACAATTTTTTAATTAATTAATTGGTTAATATTTTTTTTTCTTGGTTTAAGTTATGTCGTGAACTTCATCACGAAAATGTAATAGAATTGAAAGAAGTTTTACTTGAAGACACATCAATCAATATGGTGCTTGATTATGCTGAACATGATTTTCTTGTATGAGGGAGATTTTTGATTAATTTTTACAATTAATGCATAAAACAACAGCAATAAAATTTATAATTACAATTTAATGATTTTTTAGCAAATAATTCATCATCATTCACAAAATGAAAGAAAACCAATACCAGAATTCACAGTCAAATCTTTCTTATGGCAATTATTAAATGGTGTTGCGTATTTGCATGCAAATTGGATACTACATAGAGATTTAAAACCTGCAAATATTTTAGTTATAGCTGAAGGTGTTGTTAAAATTGGTAATAATTTATAATTAAGTAATGGGTGGAGTGTAATAATATTATATTATCAATAGTAATAACAATATTTTTTTTTAGGTGATTTGGGATTAGCAAGGATATATAGTAGGCCTTTACAACCATTATATAATGGAGATAAAGTAGTTGTTACAATTTGGTATCGAGCACCAGAATTATTACTTGGTTCAAAACATTATACTACAGCAATTGGTAAAATTATTTCAACAGTTAGATGATGATGATAATGATATATCACCAAGATTTTATTTACAACATAATAATTATATTATTATTATTATTATTATTATTATTAAATTTTACTATTATGATTATTACATTACCATTATAGATATTTGGGCTGTTGGGTGTATATTTGCTGAATTATTGACTTTAAGACCTATATTTAAAGGTGAAGAGGCAAAAATGGATAGTAAGAAAAATGTTCCATTCCAAAAAAATCAATTAATTAAAATATTTGATGTATTAGGAACACCTACAAGTAATTATTATGATCATGATTAAAAAATTTTTTGAAATAAAATATTAACATTAATATTTTCCTAGAGGATCAATGGCCTACAATTGATCAACAACCAGAATATCATAATATACTCAGCATGAAACAGTAATTAAAATTTTTTCCTTTTTTTTTTCTATATATCATTATTATATAATTAATGCCATTTATTTAAATTTTTAGAACTGATAATCGGTTAAAAAGTTTTTATCAAAATTCACGTTCATCACCTTCTGAAGCAGGTTTTGATCTTTTAGCTAAAATGTTGGAATATGATCCTACAAGAAGAATTAATGCTGAAGATGCTTTAAACCATCCTTATTTTTCAGAAGAGCCATTGCCTTCTATGGAGTAACTACCACTATCATTACTATTATCTGATATTATATTATAAATATAATATTAACATATATACAAATGAATGCTGTAGATCTTTTAAAGGCCAACCATTTCAATATCCACTAAGAACTTTGAAACAAGATGATTCTGATGTCAAGGTTGTACAACCAGTACCTGGAACAGTTGTTCAAAGTCAACAGCAGCAGCAACTACAACAATCAGGGACATCTTCTCAAGGTGCAATAGCAGTGAAAAAACATAATCAGAATGGAAAAGATGAAGGAAGACCTGTTAAGAGAAGAGGTTAAATTATCAATAATATTAAAAATATTATTTTTGTTTTGAATTATTCAATTTGTATTAATAATAATAATAAAATTGTTGTTAAATTTCTAATTGTTTAAGCAATTTTTTTTAATGGTGTAAATAAAGAGTTTTATTTATAGAGAAGTATAGAATCTCCTATTCCACCTTTTTTTTATCATATTGTATTAACAAATATGAAGCATTATCATAAATTATATCATTTTTTAGAAAAAAAAACAAGATCTCTTCCTTATTTTGTGAATACAACATCATCAGTAATAACAACGACCTTATGTTTAAATGTTATTTTAAAAAGTATCATTCCAAAAAGGAATTAGAATCATTTAAACTAAATGATAAAGTTAGCAACAATTGGGCTTCTAATTAGGGGTTGGCACCGTTAACCGTTTAATCGGTTAAGATATTTTTTTAACCGGTTAATTCTTTTTGATTAACCGGTTAACCACCATTTATTAATTTTTTTTTATATATTACAGTCAAACCTCGTCACAGCGGACCTTGCCACAACACATTTCTTGTTACAACGATTTAGAGGATCTGAAATTGGAGTTTTGCACTAGGGTAGAATAATGTTAGATAAAGAGAAATCTAAAAGATAACATCATTTTGATAGGCATGTCACATGTTAGAACAATATTAATATTAATATAAAACTGACATTGAATCATGTAACAAACATTTTGACTAAATAATAAATAAATAAGAGATTGCATCGTACTTCTTTTTTCCATGAGCATCAATTGCTGAGAATATTTGAAAAATGAATGTTGTTATTGCTGTTTTCATTGTCACTGTTGCAGTTGTTAGATTTTGATGTTTCACATATGTCAGTTATTATTTCAACACCGAAAGTTTTCATAACTTCAATATTTATTAAGCAACATTTCAAATAGAGTGGCTAATATTTGGGTAGAGAAAACAAAAAGTTTCTTGATGTACTAAAGTCAAATTGCTAATATAAATGATGGTGTTATATAATTATGACAATAATTTGGTACTTTATTATTTATTTTAATTACCTTGATCTTAATTTCATAAAGAGTATTTTGACTTACATATCAGTCATTTAACAAATTAAATTCATTCTTTTCATCATCAATTAAAAAGGTAGTCAGCCTAGACTCTTTTCTTGCGCCTCCAAAAAAATTTGTTCTATTTATTTTATTCAAAAGAATTTATAATTAATCAATTATTGATAATTCCTTTCTCCACCTTTTCAATTTATTTAAATAATGATGATGATAATTAATAATTATTTACTTGATCATAAGGCCACCATCAACAACATCATATGTGTAATATCAAAAGTTTTTAAAATAGAAATTAAAGAATCTAAATGAACTTTGAGTTGGATTCGGCCAGAAAACATTGTTGTTATAATCATAGCTTTCAAATATTTTAGAATTCCAAAGCACCGTTGTTAATTTTTTTAAGAAGATATGTTGATTGATTAATATGATTATGGCATGATAATGATCTTTAATATTTGAATAGAACCTTGAATATTATAAATGCTTGTACACTGAAAGTAACACCCTCTTCTACTACATCAATAATAACAAGTTCCTGTAAAATTTAATAAATAAATTAAAACTTACAGCTTTAAAAATTAGTTTATATTTGCTAATTATCTTACATTCTCTTTTATTTGTAATGCCTCTAAAGAGCATGTTAAATATGCACTCTGAACTATTTTTGATGAAAAAGTTTGAATGTCCTAAATACCTAAATATTATTTGGAAAGAGTTTTTCATCAAAAATTGATTTCGTGATCTGTCACATGATGATAAATTGAAAAATATCCGCTTAGACCAGCCATTTATGGTATGATGCCGATCATCTAAAGACATCCAATGTTGCGCCAAAAGGTGGAAAATCTTTACTTTTAAGGAACCACATTTTTTCACTAATTTTAACTCTTGGAGGGTTTACAACAAATTGTCCCATTATCATATTTCTCTCTGTAAAATTGCATGAAGATGTTATAAGCTTATTAGTGCCTAAGAATGGGTCCTTCTGATAAAGCTGCCATTTGTGCAGTTAAGAAATATCATTCCCCCAGAAGAGTTACTGAATCTGTTTAATGACAGATTCTTGAATAATCTTTTTATTGATAGATTAGGTCTCTCATACTAAGTGTACCTGTAACCTATCTATATTAATATAGTTTACAAGGTCCTTTTGTAACAAATTAGAAAAGATTGGCTTTGGCAATATTTAGAAAGAATTGGTAACAATACTATCTCTCTTTGGAAATTTTCAAAAGGAAAGGAAAAATTGATCTCCAAAATTTTTTAAAATGTTCAAAGGTCATTTTTATAAATAAAAATAATATTGTTTGATTAAAATCAAGCCTTTTCCAAAATGTGAAGAAATATTTTCTCCCACTAAAAATTTGGATTAATCCATTATTGTTAAAGAAAAATCAATTAACCATTTTTGAAAAAGATTCTTTCCTGCTACTAAAAATACTAATAAGAGATTAGAAAAACAACAGTTTATTAATATTAATTAAAGAAATCAATCAAGCTTTTTTTGAAAACATGAAGAAAAAATATAACAATTCAGAATTGATTTTATTATTTATTATTATTATTATATTATTTCTAACCATGCCTTTTTGAAAGTTTAAAGACAATATTCAGAAATAATTTTATTATTTTTCTAATATTAAAAATGACCATGCCTTTTTTGAAATGTGAAGAAAAAACGTAACAATTTGGAAGTTAATTTATTATTATTATATTGAATCATGCCTTTTTTGAAAATGTGAAAAAAAAAATATTGTTGAAGGAATTAACAAAGCTTTCTTTGAAAAAGGTTTTCTTCTGCTTGCTTATTCTATTTGATGCAATGGAACTATTGGAATAGTGATGAAAATTTGTGATGAAGAGGATGTTGAGGTGGCCTTTACTATCTTGGCCAGCATAAGAAATGCTATTGTTCAAAGAGAAATGACTTATTTTGAAGTTTATGGTAAGAGAGCATCAAGGAACCAATTTTCTCTTCAGAATGCATTTGCTCTGGCTGTTCATAAAACTCAAGGATTGACCCTGTCACATGTAACATTGAACATTGAAAAAAGCATGTTGGCTGAAAGACAAGTTCATGTTGCCAATGAGTTGAGTTCCCTTATTATAGATCCTTTATTTGATTATTCTCAATTAAAATTTCCCAGTGAGATTTAGAGTATAAAAGATTAGAGGCTGTGAGCATTGATGGGTTGCAAAATCTAACAACATTGTAAAGAAAATATGCTTTGTAAAAAATTGAATGTAATTAATCATGATAATATGATAATTAATGCAACCTATTGTCTGGAATCTTTTTTTTGTTATATACGATCTTGCAATAAAATATGTTTGAATGGGACTTAAAAAGGCAATAAGGTGAAAGAGTATAACATTCTTTATCAATGGCATTATCAAAATTCATATGTTGCCATCTCAGAGATCATCATATTTTACATTTTTAAAGCAATTGCCACCTAAAGAGGCTTTATTCACCCCCCTGATTAAAAAATTTTTTGAAATAAAATATTAACATTAATATTTTCCTAGAGGATCAATGGCCTACAATTGATCAACAACCAGAATATCATAATATACTCAGCATGAAACAGTAATTAAAATTTTTTCCTTTTTTTTTTCTATATATCATTATTATATAATTAATGCCATTTATTTAAATTTTTAGAACTGATAATCGGTTAAAAAGTTTTTATCAAAATTCACGTTCATCACCTTCTGAAGCAGGTTTTGATCTTTTAGCTAAAATGTTGGAATATGATCCTACAAGAAGAATTAATGCTGAAGATGCTTTAAACCATCCTTATTTTTCAGAAGAGCCATTGCCTTCTATGGAGTAACTACCACTATCATTACTATTATCTGATATTATATTATAAATATAATATTAACATATATACAAATGAATGCTGTAGATCTTTTAAAGGCCAACCATTTCAATATCCACTAAGAACTTTGAAACAAGATGATTCTGATGTCAAGGTTGTACAACCAGTACCTGGAACAGTTGTTCAAAGTCAACAGCAGCAGCAACTACAACAATCAGGGACATCTTCTCAAGGTGCAATAGCAGTGAAAAAACATAATCAGAATGGAAAAGATGAAGGAAGACCTGTTAAGAGAAGAGGTTAAATTATCAATAATATTAAAAATATTATTTTTGTTTTGAATTATTCAATTTGTATTAATAATAATAATAAAATTGTTGTTAAATTTCTAATTGTTTAAGCAATTTTTTTTAATGGTGTAAATAAAGAGTTTTATTTATAGAGAAGTATAGAATCTCCTATTCCACCTTTTTTTTATCATATTGTATTAACAAATATGAAGCATTATCATAAATTATATCATTTTTTAGAAAAAAAAACAAGATCTCTTCCTTATTTTGTGAATACAACATCATCAGTAATAACAACGACCTTATGTTTAAATGTTATTTTAAAAAGTATCATTCCAAAAAGGAATTAGAATCATTTAAACTAAATGATAAAGTTAGCAACAATTGGGCTTCTAATTAGGGGTTGGCACCGTTAACCGTTTAATCGGTTAAGATATTTTTTTAACCGGTTAATTCTTTTTGATTAACCGGTTAACCACCATTTATTAATTTTTTTTTATATATTACAGTCAAACCTCGTCACAGCGGACCTTGCCACAACACATTTCTTGTTACAACGGATTTAAGTATTGTCCCCTTATTAATATTAATTAAAACGTTTGTCATAATAATAACGGATTCTACTACTAATAATAAATTTGTTCCACAGATTTTTGATGGGGTCTTTATATATGTCTACGTGACATATAAATGTCCAAATTACCAAAATTGATAGAGGAAACCCTTTGGAAAATGAAATATCTAATAATGAAAATTGAAAATTCAAGAAATATAGTCGAAGAGATTTCAAAATGATGTTAATAATATAATAGTTGTTGAAAGTAACACTATGTCTAAAGTTTCAACGAAAGTTGCCGTAATTTCCTTTGAGATAGCTTTTAATTTTCTTCAACAAGGTAATTTAGAAATAGATTGTAAAGAATTTAAACCATTTAAACCATTGAAAAAAGTGAAATTATTAGATAATACAACCAAATATTACATCTTATTTCAACAAATAATTTTCATTTCCGTATGTATTATTTATTAATTTATTGCACTATACTAAACCTCTCTATAACGAACACTAAGTAAATTTCTCTAACGAATTTCCCTTTTGTCGCCCGTCTCCGATTCAATTTTTTATAATTAATTTCTCCCTATAATGAACAAAAGCAGAAAAATGCATATAATGGACAGAGGGTTTGGTATGGAGAGAGTGCTTTGTATTATTAAAAAAATTTTGCCCGATCATCACCAATTTTGCCGCTGCGGACTTCTTGTCATTATAATAATAATAATAATAATAATAACGGATTTTTTTTGGCTGGAACCATGAATCCATTGTGGCGAGGTTTGACTGTAATCATTTAGCATCTATTAAATGTATAATAATAAAAATTCAACAGACGCGTGATTATTTTATAAGTAATGAACGATCGAATTTACCAGTTAAAAAATTACACGTGACTAAATTAACCAGTTAACTGGTTAACTCTTAATTTTAACGGTTAATTAACTGGCCAAAGAATTTTTGCGCGGTGCCAACCTCTATACAAAATAAAAGTTAAAGAATTGTCAGAGCATTTGCATGGGGGGAAAATACTTGGATCCAAAGCCATTGTACGCACTAACTAACTCTATTACTATTCTTTTTATTATTAATATCGATATATTTGTTTTCATTATCTTCGTCATCTCAATCTCTATCCCTTTCTTCGTTTCCTTGTCAACTACTGTTGGATCGCTTTTATCGTTTTCCTTCCATGATTAGTTTTTCGTTGATAGAAATTTTGATAAACTTTTAAAAATAAAATATTGTCTGTATTTACTTTGTTTAAAGCGCTTTGATAAAAGAAACAAGTGTAGTCGATGCCCTTGGTAAAAGGTAACAATTTTATTTTCTTTATTGAGCAAGCAAGTTTAAGTAGGACTAACTGGTGAGTGTTAATGAAGTATCGTCCAAAGGTTAATTGGGAATACTGGCGGTATTATTGTAATCGTAAACGTAAGGTTGTTAAACAAGCTACTTAAATTATTTTGTATAAATAAACCAAAGCGAGTTTATTTATATTTGTTTACAGTTATCTGGTACCGTTAAGTCTGCTCACAGATTCGTCTATTCGTCTAGGTACAAGAAAGAGGGAACCAAAGTAAATTTGTAAGCTAATTTTAATTGACAAGCACCGAATTATTTGCAATCACAAGAGTAGTCCAAAAGTTAAGCCATAATTGTTGATTAACCGAAATGATACCTCGCAATACCACCTATTTAACAAGGATCAAAAAATTGTAAAAAAAAGTTAATCATTATAATTTAGCTTTAAGAAATAAAATAAATGAATAAATTTATAGTGGATATTTAATTCATCAGTTCTTTCTTTTACTATTGCTACTAGATTAATTCATTAATTAGTAATAATTAATGGATGGCGATTTCCAATTGATTAATAAAAAAATTTTTATTCACCTTTGCTAACATTCTAGAGAAAAGAGTTACAATCAAGATTATTTAACGAATCATCACTTGTATAACTTTTAGATTTAGCAATCTCTTCATCTAATATTCTACTTGTATGATATGCATCTGGATGTGATTTGTGTTCTTGTTGCGAAGCAATACCACCACTACCACTGCTGCTGCTGCCGCTGTCATTATTTTTAATTTTAATAATTTCATTGTATTTACTTCTAGCAAAATCAAGCAGCTCACCAGCAGTTGGTCTTTTTGATGGATCCACATCCCAACATCTCTGCATAATTTGCACATAATCTTCAGGCGTTGTAGGTAATATTGGTGGTCGTAAACCTTCACATATATCAAAAATCAAACGATGATTGTGAGCTCTATCATCAAATGGTGGACAACCTGCAAATATTTCCCACAATAACATCCCAACACTATAGATATCTGTTTCTTTTGTGTTCTTTTTGCCTCTAAGTAGCTCGGGTGCAACATATGATAGAATTCCATAGACTTTATTTGATGACTTTTCATTAACTGGTCCACATAACCCCAAATCTGTAATAAAACAATTACCTCCATTCACAAGTATATTACCACTATGTAAATCACAATGAATTAAATCTTTTTGATGTATTTGATGTAATGCACTACATATATATCTAAAGATTGTGATTCTGTCTTTTAATGTTAAATTTAAATGATTTTTTTGTAAATAACCCCTTAAATTTCCTTCTACATAATAATTTAGAACAATTGCATAATTTCCATTATCTGGGAATTTAGTTATACCATAACACCTAACAACCAGTGGTGTTTTAATTTTACAATAATTCACTGCCTGAAAATAAATATAAAATCAATTAGTATTATATAATATAGTAAGTATTGTTTTAAATGATAACTACCAACCTCATCAAAAAAGCCTTTTCCTGGATTACTTGAATCATTTAAACTTTTTAATATCACTAGTTGCTCTTCTAAATAAATAAATTCCTTTTTATTTTCATCATAATCAATTATTCGTCCTCTCATCCATGTAGCAGTATAAATTGAACTAAATCCACCTTCAGTTAATTTTGTTACTTTTTCAAATTGCTCAAAAGGTATCCATTCTAAAATATAAGTTGGCAGAGATGATTTCATTTGACATTGTTGAATAAAATCATCAATTATGTTATTTCCAGATGTCCAAGTGGTGAAAAGACTCTGTAATTGTAAACCAATACAACTTTCACAGAATCTATCAGAATATCTTGTCAATTTACACTTGTTACATTCCTTTGGTTTACCCAATTTATATGTTGCATTCTCTAATTCAAAATAATAAATAAACTTTCTCTTGCAATATTCTTTTTCATTTTCAGAAAGCTCCTTATTTTTTTTGACCAATGAAAAAAAATAATCTTTCATACTTTCTCTATTAGAATTAACCAGAGCATTATTAAGCATTTCATTATTGGTTTCCAATATGAATTTCTTTCTTTCTGGTGATGATGATGATAATAGTTTAACAAATGACATTATATAAAAATATAAAATATAAAATATAAAATATAAAATTTTAATTAGAGTGGAGATTTTTTTTTGAGAATAACAGTTTAAATATAAAAGAAAGGTTCTTGTGTTTCTAAATGTCGTAGGTTTTCTTTTTTTTCCTCCTAATTTAACAATTTTACCCAAATTTGAAATGTTTGGTTGCATGGAAATACTCTGTTGTAAAGAAGACTTGAAAAACGTGCGGTTATGGATGAGTTCAAAATCAAAGGGTAATGAGTTGTATTTTTTCTTTTTTTGCTGCGCTGGCTTGAAATTAATTTGTTAAAATTGAAATTTGAACAAAAATATTTGTTTGTGGTTATTTTTACATCGCGAATTTCTATTTGGCAACCGAAAATTTATATTTTTTTGTAAAAGCAGATGCTTGACTGAAAGAAAATCATGTTTCACTTTAGATGTTTTTTGCGTGGTGTTTATCATTGTTTACTGTTAGGTTTTTGTCTTTCTCTGACCATTTAAAATGACCAAAACTTATGACCTTGGACAGATCGTATTAGTATATTTTCGATCAACCCAATGATCGATAATAATAAACAAACAATATGTTTCGTGATTGAATTAAAAAAATTTTTTTTTTGATTTTGACCATTTGAGAGATAGTGGATGATTCGGATAAGATAATTTTTAAATTTCTTTTAGCAAAGGATTTTTTTAATTAAAAAAAAAGCTTAGTTGATTGTTTCTTAACAAATGAAATTTGTAAATAACTTTTGATGTTTGCAAATACATATAAGAACCTAAAAACCGGTTAATGTAACACGAATTTAATAAAGTTGTACAAAATATATTAAAAAAAAAATTTATATATATATTTTTTTACAACACAAATAACAAATAATTACTGTGTAATTCCTCAATTCAGGATTTTCGTGTAATAAATTCAAAAAATAAAAAATAAAAAGCATATTTTCAATTTCTTCAATTCCAAAAAATGGATCACCAATTTGATTTATATAGTGTCGAGGTACCAAGGAAAACAGTTCTATTTACGTGTTTATATATTTTATAACA